CCAGGCTCTGAGCTGGCTGTAAGCACAGAGCCCGACACGGGGCTCAAACCCACGAACCGTGAGATCATGACCTGAGCCAAAGTCGGACACTTAACTGACTGAGCCACCTCGGCGCCCCTTAATTTCTTCCTTAAAGTGGTCTGCAAAACTGTGGCAGTTTCAGACCCTGTGAGATGCAGACTGGCACTTGTGGCCAGGCATCAACTCATCCTGCCCCTACCCCTACTCCTCAGCCATAGACACCATCTTGTTCACCCCATAGTCCCGGTGTCCCCAAAGTGCGCAACACATACATGCTAGATCTTTTGTTATTCTTGGCTGTTGTCATTATTATTATTAGCCACAAAAAGGAAAGGAAGAGGATTCTGACATTTTGTTGAGGAAGTTAGGATGAGGGTGGCTTTGAACTTGTAACGCTAAGATGGCAGCTGAACTTGTACACCTGTGGGATATACTCTGGAGCAGAAGCACTAAAGAAAGTGCCTACACATCAGGGAAGATTTAGAATCATCCACCCTCATCTGAGATAAGCCTCTTCCCGAGGACTCTAATGAGAGGGACCAAGAGGAAGAAAAGTAACAGGCACCTTGGGGACATGAGAGTCTATGGAAGGCACCAGAGCCCACCCTGTAGGTGTAGACTGGGAGCCCAGAGGCTGCTGAGTTCCTGCTTCCCAGGAGCCACCTCCTGACCCTGCCAGACACTGCAGCTGTCCCCTGCGGTCCCCAGCACCCACCATGATGCACCGCGCAGGTGGGAATTGGATAAGAATTTGCTGATTGAATCAATGGCCCCCTTTGAGATGTGATTCTGTTGGTTTTGGATGTCTGTGGTCTTCAAGAATCCTCTACAACATAGATTCTTAACTTGGGTTCTAGGAAGCCCCTGGAACTGGATGTAAACTATAGGCTTGCATGTGCTTTTCAGGGGGAAAGCATCTATAGGACTCACCCTATTCTATACGGATTCTATACGGTTTAAGGCTCCCAAGAAATCGAGAAACACTGGGGAAAATGAAGAAGTGTGTACCCCTGGAAAAGTCATCCTAAACCACTGTTTTACAGAGAGCAGCCCTCCAGGACGGGAGGGGAGCTTTGGGATGGCCCAGTGGGGCTGAGCCGACAGACCCAAAGGTGAGGACCCAGACAGATGCCTGGATGGGACAACCGTGAGGTCCCAGCACATCCTCTGTCCTGCACTTTCCCTGGGATGGACCACAAAACGTCTGCAGACTTAAGTGCTTGTATGACCAATACCTGTTCATTGGTCCCGTACTAACTGAGGCCTCAGTCAGTGCCAAGCTCTGTGCTAGGTGCTGGGGACATGTGGGGGCTGGGTTCCCAGGAGAGGGGACACAGGACAGACTATCCACTGAGTGAGTCCGTCTTATTTATCTCCATTCTCCAAGCTTTGGCGGCTGTACAGCACTCAGAAGGCTCTCGTTCATTAGCCACTGCCTTAGGCAATGGGACAGGAGAGTGGTTAATGCCTCTGGCATTTGGAATCTGGAAGCCTCAGTTCAAATCACAGCTTGTCCACTTAACATGCTGTGTGACCCTGGGCAGGTCGCATCACCTCTCTGAGGATCAGTTTCCTGGAATGTAGAGCAGGAACTAGCCTGGGGGCAGTTAAGAAGCTGATGGGTGAAAAGAGCCTGACACGCTGAGTGCCTGTCCAGCTTTAGCTCTTGGAGTTAATATTGTCCCCATAATGTCAAGGAGCCCAGGTAAACCCTAGGATCTCCACTTGCCCTCCGGGGAATGGGAGGGGGGAGCCTCCCCAGATCACCTCCGTGCCTCGTCTACACTAGGAGCTCGGAATCAGAAATGGGGGTGTTGTAGGCGGCTGTGGAGCAGCATCTAGTGGAAGGGAAGGAAAAGTGAGTGTCACAAGGACATTTGGAAGAGAAAGTTCTAGAGGCCAGGACAGAGGCTGGCACAGAAGCCAGGAAAGTGACTGCATGAGCTGGCAGCCTCAGCATGGGGTGGGGGGGGGGGGAGTGGGCAGACAAGGTCCCCTTAACAGGATCCAGGACTCAGGGCCAGTGCAGGAGCAGCCTTCTCCCTCCCGACCTCCCTCCTGGCCTCCCCGGGTGCTGGGTCTCCGGGTCCGTGGGCTCAGAGGCCATCTTCCCTGTTCTGCTCCATCTGCACTGCGTCAAGCTAAGGGCACTGCCTCCAGTGCCCCCAAGTCCTCTGCACTTGGGCCCCCCTGGGCAGGAGAGGGCTCTGTGCAAGGCACAGCTGGGCGTCCCCAGGGCCCCAGGCCCTCAGCAGCAGCTGGGCCTGCATCCCTCTGACACCAGGTCCTTCCTTGGGTTTCTGGCTATGCTGATCTCCGCAGGGATGGTCACTATGCTGTCCCTTCCCCTTTCCCCACGCCCAGCCCTCTCTCACAACCCTGCCCATAGCCCTCCCCCGTCCTCCACTGCCAAAAGAGTCCAGAACAAACCAGTGCTCTCCCGTCCCTGTCTGCAGCCAAGAGCTGAGATTCCAGCAGACCGCCTCCCTGGGTGGTGAGGGGTGAGTGGGAGAAGCTGTGGAAAGCAGGCGGCACGGGCACAGGCACACAGGGAATGTTCCAGAAGAGGAGGCAAACATTGCATCTTCGTGAACACCATCAGTGAGAGAAGCAAAGAGTCAGTCCACTTTTTCCGAGAAGAGCATCTGTGTGTTTATGGAAATTCCTTGGTTATAGTTACCATTTCCGGGCCATTTAAAGGATGTCACTGGATCGGGGCGCCTGGGTGGCTCAGTCGGTTAAGCGTCTGACTTTGGCTCAGGTCATGATCTTCCAGCTCAAGGGTGTGAGCCCCGCATTGGGCTCTGAGCTGACAGCACAGAGCCTGCTTGGGATTCTCTGTCTCTGTCTCTCTCTCTCTCTGCCCCTCCCCTGCTTTCTCTCTCTCAAAAATAAATAAACATTTTTTTTTAAAAGGATGCTGCATGGGGCAACTGGGTGGCTCAATGGGTTAAGGCCAACTTTGGATCAAGTCATGATCTCATAGTCCATGATTTCGAACCCTACTTCGGGCTCTGTGCTGACAGCTCAGAGCCTGGAGCCTGCTTCAGATTCTGTATCTCCCTCTCTCTCTGCCCCTCCCCTTCTCGAACTCAGTTTTTCTCTTTCTCTCCCTCAAAACTAAATAAAAGTTTAAAAAATTTAAAAAACAACACTCATGTATAGCACTACCCATACATGCAAGCAGAAGCCCATCTTCCCAGAAACAACCTCTCACTGAGTTTAATTCCTTCACTGTTTGTGTTCCTGATTTCATAGGGTCACCACTTTAAGCCTCCAAAACTCACACCGACATCTTTTCAGGAAACTGTCTTCCCCAAAATGTCCTTTGCCTTTCCAGTTCAGTTGTTGAGAGAACCCCTCCAGCTCTAGAATTCTTTTTTTTTTTTATTTTAAATGTTTATTTTTGAAGGATAGAGACAGAGTATGAGTGGGGGAGGGGCAGAGAGAGTGAGAGAGAGACACACACACAGAATTCTTAAGGACTCCCTCTCCTTGATGGGATAATGGTGGGGAGATGGGGGCTCTCCCCTATGAATAAGCCATAGAGGAGATACACCCAGATGTCACTGATGTGGGTCCCCTGGAGAGGAGGCTGTTTTGTCTGTTCTGTAGATCTGCCCCAGGTGTGAGCTGTACCTTTGGAGCACTCAGCCTTATAGCACAGAAGAGGAGGGTCCTGAGCACTCCCCATGGCTCTGGGGGAGACTTGGGTCTGAACACTAGGGCCCCCCCTCACCGGAGCACCCCCATGATAACCACGGGCCAGTATTTATTAAGAATAACTGAGGGGCACCTGTGTGGCTCAGTCGGTTAAGCGTCCGACTCTTGGCTGCGACTCAGGTCACGATCTCTGTTTGTGAGTTGGAACCCTGCATCTGCTGACAGCATCCGGCCTGGTTGGGATTCTGTCTCCCTCTCTCTCTGCCCCTCCCCTGCTGGTTCTCTATCTTCTCTCAAAATAAATAAACTATAAAAACAAAACAAAACAAAACAAAAACCTTTTTTAGGGGCACCTGGGTGGCTCAGTTGGTTGAGCGTCCGACTTTGGCTCAGGCCATGATCTTGTGATCCATGAGTTCAAGGCCCACATTGGGCTCTGTGCTGACAGTGTGGAGACTGCTTGGAATTTTCTCTCCCTCTTTCTTTCTCTCTGCCCTGCCCCCCTTCTCAAAAATAAATAAAAACTTAAAAAAAAAAAAAGAATAACCTGAGGTTAGAAGGCACTACTTCAAGTCAGAATCCCAGGGGCTCACCAGGGGAAGAGCCCTGTTATTGCAGAGTGGAGGCCCCAGGGTCGCCCAAAGCAAGGTTGAGCTTAGACTCATGCCCACCCTTGCCGATAGCCTAGCAGCCCCACATCCGCAGTGGGCACAGTGAAGGGCATCCCTGCCACCCAGGGCCCCTCATCAACTGCCCGGGGCTTGGCTGGACACAGAACTGTCCATCAACCAGCTCCCTTCCCTCTGGTTCCAGATCTGTGACCCGAGGAATTCTGCTAGGAAGCCGAAGCTGACCTTAAAAGAGCAGCTGGCTTGCCAAGGTAGCTGGCAGCCAGCTTCCCGCACCCCGGGCCTTGTTTCTGCTTTGTCTGGATTCCTAGCACAGGCTGATCTCTGATGTCTGCATTCTACCAGGAAACTAGAGGCCCAAGACCCGTGAGGGAGCGTGAGGAGGAGGAGGAGGCGGAAGAAGCCAGGCGGAAGTGGGCCTTTTGCAGTGAGAATTCCACCGGGGAGCCAGGAGGGCAACAGGTCTGTACTGTCACCCTGGCCTATCCCACCCCAACCCCCACTCCTGTGGGAGCCCAGTCGGGGTGTCATTTCCTGGTTGTCACTGTAGACCTCCCTATCCTCACATCATTGCAAGCGAGGCATGAGTCTCCCTAACCTCTGCCTTGCTTGACCTTATATAGAAAAGGTTTCTTTCCTCTGCAGCCTCCACATCTGTTCCCTCAGGTTCAAGTCCATGTAACTCACCGGGTCCTTGGTCGAGCGTCAGGGGAGATGCTCCGAAGTCCAGCCTAGCCCTGGGAACAGTCCCTGGGTGTGCTCCTATGGATCCACTCTTCCCACCGTGTATACCAACCATGCAGAGACACGGCATTCCACTCGCACTGCCTTCCCTCTGGTTCTGCCTCAACTTTGGCTGGTCTGAGGCTGTCAGATCCTGGTGATTCTCCTGGAACAGAAGAGGGAGGCCCTGGGCACGTTTCCCTGCAGACTGGGAGCAGATGGATGCTCCACCGCTGCCTCCGGTTCCTCTCCCCACCCCCGTTTTCCTCCCATGACATGTCTGTCTTCTACATGTTTTATGAACAGTCTTGCTACTGCTCCTTCACATAATTCACAAAGGGTGTCTTTGCTCTGTACATCAAGGGTGGAGGAAGTATCCACTTGTATTAAGTGAAGGTATGGCAGAAGGGTGGAGCCGGGTTCTTCACGGCTGGGGTTGGAGCAAAGGAAGGAGTCTGGAACGACCCACGTGGTGATGGAACAGAGATATCAGTGCCAACTTGTGTTTGGCTTAATAAAGACACACAGGTGAACATACACACATTTCCTGCCTCTGTCACCTGACATGATCTGGAGGCAACGACACCCCAGTAGCAACAACCACACCCGGCCCCCAGATCTTGGTTCCTAAAACCACTTTCCAAAGCAACAGTCCAGGGCTCCCTAGAGAAATTGTTGTTTCACAAGGAGACAGGATCCCCAAAATAGGCCAGTACTTTCAACTCCATCTGAGACCAAACCCATAATCTCTATCATTATCATTATTATTTTATGTTTTGTGAAACATATTAACATATGTTCACAGTATTTAAGAAGCACACTACTGGGGAGCCTGGGTGGCTCAGTCAGTTAAGCGTCCGACTTCAGCTCAGGTCATGATCTTGCGGCTTGTGGGTTCAAGCCCCATGTCAGGCTCTGTGCTGACAGCTTGGAGCCTGGAGACTGCTTCACATTCTGTGTCTCCCTCTCTCTCTGCCCCTCCCCTACTCTTGCTCTGTCACTCAAAAATAAATAAATGTTTTAAAAAAATTATAAATAAAAAATAAAAGTCACACTACTGAGGGGTACCTGGGTGGCTCAGTCAGTGAAGTGTTTGACTCTTGATTTTGGCTCAAGTCCTGATCTCACAGTTTGTGGGTTCAAGCCCCATGTTGGGCTCTGCACTGTGTCAACATGGAGCCTGATTGGAATTCTCTCTCCGTCTCTCTCTCTGCCCACCCCCCACTCATGCTCTCTCTCTCTCTCTCTCAAAATAAATAAACTTAAATTTAAAAAAAAAGTCACACTACTGAAAAGAGGTCACAATTAAAAGTAAGTCTCCTTCCCATACACTAGTCAAGGGAGAGAGGCCCATTGGCAAAGAGAAAAAAGGTACATGGAGCTAGAGACAAAATCAACAGCTCAGAGATTGCAGGATGATGCCTGACTTGCACTTTTCTTCTTTTCTTTTCTTTTTCTTTCTTTTTTTCTTTTTTAAGTTTATTGCAGAGTCCAATGCAGGGCTTGAGCTCACAAATGTGAGATCATGACCTGGCCTGAAATCAAGAGTCAGATGCCTAACTGACTAAGCCACCCAGGCAGGCACCCCACTCTTTTTTTTCTATCAGATCCCCCCATATCTTCCATTGACTTAAGTGACTCAGTGTGAGCATTTTTTCTGTCCCAAGAATCTTGATTGAGATCTGCTTTAACACCTCAATAGAACAGTTTTACCACTTCTTTGGTAAATGAATGAGCCAATTACTTCCAAGGCATTTACACCCAGAGTCTCCATAAACACGATGCCCTTGGTTGCTCCTCCTCTGAGGTACAGTTGAAGACAGATAAACAGAAGTAACACCTCTCCCATTCTGCAGATGAGAAATGAAATCCTTATAACAATCTCAAAAACTATTTTTGCAGAAAAGGAAAAACTGGTCCTAAAATTCATAAGGAATATAAAGATTCCCCAAATGGCCAAAACCATCTTGAAAAAGAAGAACAAAATTAGAAGATTCATCATGCTTCCTTACAGTGATCAAAATGATAGTACGAATAAGAACAGCTATATAGATCAACTGAATAAAATTGAGAGTGCAGAAATAAACACATACATCTATTATCAATTGGGTTTTTTTTAATGTTTTTTTTTTAAATTTATTTCTAGGAGAGAGAGAGAGAGAGAGACAGCGTGAGCAGGGGAGGGTCAGAGAGAGAGGGAGTCACAGACTGAAACAGGCTCCAGGCTCTAAGCTGGCAGTCAGCACAGAGCCCGACGCGGGGCTCGAACCCACGAACCGCGAGATCATGACCTAAGCGAAAGTTGGACGCTCAACTGACTAAGCCACCCAGGCGTCCTCCCCGATCAATTGGTTTTTAAGAAGCTGCCATGACCATTCAATGGGGAAACACTAGTCTCTTCAGCAAGTGGTGCTGGGACATCTGGATGTTCACAGGTGAATACAGTTGGGCCCTATCTCATACCACAAAGAAAAATCAACTTAAAATGGATTAGAGACCTAAATATAAAATCTGTAACTATAAAACACTTAGAAGAAAATATAGGGCCAAATACTCATGACCTTGGGTTTGGAGATGGGTTCATAGATATGGCGCCAAAACCACAAGCAACAAAAGAAAAAATAGACAGATAGGACTTCATAAAATTCCAAAACTTTTGGGCACTATCTCGATAGTCCACTATCAAGAAAAAGGCAACCCACAGAGTCAGAGAAATAATTGCAAATCGTATGTGTAACGAGAGTCTAATATCCAGAATGTGTACAGAATTTGCACAACTCACCAACAAAAAGACAGTCCAACTTAAAAATGAGCAAAGACTTGAATAGAACTTCTCCAAAGAAGTTTTACAAATGGCTCACAAGCATGGGGAAAGATGCTCAATATCATTAGTCATTAGGGAAATGCAAATCAAAACCACAGTGAGATATCACTTCACACCCACTAGGATGACTATCATTTTAAAAATGGAAAATAAGTTTGGGCAAGGCTGTGGAGAAATTGAAGTCCTTATACATTGCTGGTAGAAATGCAATGGTGCAGTCGCTACAGAAAATAATTTGGAGGCGCCTCAAAATGTTATATGTAGAATTATTACATACGACCTGTGACCTGTCTGTTCAGGTGGCTAAAACAAAGTACCACAGACTGGGTGGTTTAAAAATAACAGAAATGATTTATCACAGTTCTGGAGCCTGGGAAGTCCAAGATCAAGGCATTGGCAAATTCATGGTCTGGTGATTCATAGATGGCTATTCTTCTCATTGTGTCCTCACGTGGTAGAAGGGGAAATAAAGAGAGCTCTCTGGGGTTTCTTTCATAAGGGCACCATTCTCCTGACCTAACAGCCTCCCAAAGGCACCACTTCCAAACAACACCTCCAAAGCATCTCCCAATATATAGGGATTAGGTTTCAACATAGGAATTTGGTGAAACATGAACATGCAGTCTTTAGCACTCAGCAACTACACTTCTAGGTATATGCCCAAGTGAAATAAAATATATTTGCCCACTACAAGAACTTGCACACAAATGTTCATAGTAGCACTATTCACGGCAGCCAAAAGGTGGAAACAATCCAAATGTCCATCAACTGATGAATGGAAAAACAAAATGTGGTCTATCCCTGCAATGGAATATTATTAAGCCATAAAAAGGAAGTAGTGACCCTGCTACGACATGGATGCATCTCAAAAATATAACTGTAAAGGCACCTGGGTGGCTCAGTCGGTTAAGTGTCTGACTCTTGGTTTTGGCTCAGGTCATGATCTCACAGTTCATGGGATTGGGCAGGCACAGAGCCTGCTTGGGATTCTCTCTCTCCCTCTCTCTGCCTCTACCCTGCTCATACTCTATCTCTCAAAATAAAGAAATAAACTTAAAAATTTTTATTAAGAGAAGATTTTTATTAAAAGAGAAAAGTATAATTGTATGTGAAAGAAGCAAGACATAAAGGCTTCATGTTGTATCAGTCCATTTACATGAAATGTCAAGAAAAGCCAAACTCTTAGTAGGGACAGAAATCAGATTAGCGGGTGCCTGGGGCTGCAGGGTCAGGAAAATGGGGAATGACTGCTTCGTGAACACAGTTTCTTTTTGAAGTCAAAGAAGTGTTCTGGAACTAGATAAAGGTAATTGTTTCACAGCATTGTGAATGTACTAAATCCACTGAATTGTCCACTTTAAAATGGTTCAAATGGTGAATGTAATCACCATAAATTTTTTTAAAAGCTTGCTGCTAGACAGATGGTGTGGGCTGAAATGATAAGAGAGAAATCAAGACTCTCCTGGTTTCCTCTGGGGAGTTATGGACTGCAGGAACCTTGAGCACTCAGTGGGTTTCAGCTTCCACTGCATCCTTTCTCTTCTTTGCCTAGGTATGTTCAATCTCACCCCAGGGCCTTTGCACCTGCTTTCCCATGTGCCTGAATGATTTTCCAACACTTCTTGGCCTGGCTACTGCCCTCTCCATTCATGTCTCAGCTGTGCTGTCACTCCTTAAACACTCTTCCACAAGCCTGACTGGCTCCTTCTCATCTCCTTGGAGTCCTCACCACAAGGCCCCTCCCCAATGTCATGCCATTCAGTTCACATGCTTCACAGCATTGGTGACAATCTGTTATTTTATGGATTTCATCACTTGCTTATTGTCTGTCTCCCTTCGGCTCAGATACGAGTTCCATGAGAAAAATAATGTCATATGGTCACCAGCTAGACCCCAAGACCTAACTTTACTCAACTGCTTGTACTCATTGATCCATTATCCCACAATTTCCCTTAAGTTCTTCTTTCTAGTTTATCTCTTAGCTCAGGCAAAAGATCCAAAGGGCACAGCATCCACTGATGGAAACTGGAAATACCCCTTAAGCAATAATGACCGCCTGGATGAAGAGATCTGGCAGTCAAGACCACTCAGATCAGTTTCAGCTTAACCACCAACTCATGCCCACAAAGACGGATGATGAGGTGACCCACAGAGTGGTCGACAGTTACCATTACCTCATTATAATATTAAAATTTCCATCCACAGAGGAGCACAAGCCTCATTCACATAACATGTCATGTATGTAAAGTCATGTATCCTTAAGGTGCACATGCAAACTTATGGCCACCTCTACATATGATAACAATTCTCCCCTTTCTAAATGTTCATCCTGACCCTAAATAAAAGGAACCCATTCACCATTGCTTGTGGAATCACAGCTTCAGAAGTTATTCACTGTGATCTACTTATTTGCTGCCAATAAAGTATTCTTTGTGGGACAATTCTATCCAGTGTAGTTTCTACCTGTGACTCACCAAGGAGTGAATTTGTATTAGTTTGGTTGCAATATGACTTATCTACATCATATCCCCAATGGTGGGCATATAGTGTGCTCTCAATAAAGACTTGAACAAAGGAATGAATGAATGAAACTTGCCTGGGAAAAAAATCAGGGGAAAAAAAAATCCAGTCTTGTTAAAATGAATTCAAGCAGATCAAAGTGGAGATTAGCAGTTATTATAAGGAGGAAATGAGATTTTTTTTGGCCCCAATTTTAGAAATTTATCAGGATGAGATCATCTCATCCAATGACCTGGTACGTACCTAGCTCCCCAAAATGCTTTGCTACAACACTATTTACTCCATACCTGATCTGTTACAATGTTAAACCTGGCACAAACCTTTGAGATTAGATCTAAGAAAATAATTAAGGGTGCTCTCCATTTACAATATCGTTTATGATAGCAAAACCTGAACCAAGCTAAATATGCAATAATAAGGGCACCTGGGTGGCTCAGACGGTTAAGGGTCCCACTCTCTATTTCATCTCATGGCTTGTGGGTTCGAGCCCAGCATCTGGCTCTGTGCTGACATTACGGATCCTGCTTGCGATTCTCTCTCTCTGCCCCTCTTCCGTTCATGCGCTCGCTCTCTCTCTCTCTCTAAGTAAATAAACATGAAAAATTTTGAATATGCAATAATAGAGGATAGTAAAAACTCTGAATGATCCATATTTGTGAAATCCTTTTGTATATCTGAAAATTAATGATATAGATCTATATTTGTTAACATATAAAGATGTCTGTTTTTCGGAGCCTAAAAAGCAAGTTACACTTTTTTTTTTTTTTTGCTATTCATGTTCATGGAAACAGATAAATATATTATCTTGAATAATTGTATCAGGAAGACGTTTTCAACTTCCAGTAAGAGAAAACCCTAAGTCAATGAGCTCGCGTTGAGGAAATTAACTTTGCAAAGTAAGAAAGCCAGAGTCGAGGAGCTCTGATCCCACTTCTCTGCGGGTCTGTCTCCTGGCTCTACTCACCTCGCTGTGTTGGCCTATCCTTCCGGCCGCCAGACACCCGCAGCGCGTAAAATGCCAACACCCCAGATGGGTGGACTGCATTATGGGTCTCTCTTTAAGAGCAAGTGCGTCTTTCCCAGAAGGCACCGAGCTGACTTCCCTTATATCTCATTGGTCAGAACTCGGTCACGTGCTCACATCAAAACCAATCACTGACAGAGGGGAGGGGAGCACCATGATTGGCTTGGACCAGTCAGGACCTACCCAGGATGGGGAAGGGGGTGCCTCCTCCCAGGCACGGGGAGAAGGGTGGATGCCGGGACAAATTCATTTTCATTAGGAAGACGGGGAGGAGAAAGGATCCTGAGGTGTCAACTCTTATCAGTAGGGGTTCTCTATTGAAACAGAACCAACTGGACTTATTTTCATTTTTTACAAGGAATTGGCTTATGTAGTAATGGAGCCTGACTAGTCCCAACATCTGCAGTTGGCAAATGGGAGACCCAAGAGAGCTAATGGTGTAATTCCACTGCAAGCCTGTAGGCTCGAGCCCCAGGAAGAGCTGGGATTTCTGTCTGAGTCTGAAGGCCCCAAAAGACAGATGCTTCAGCTCACGCAGTCGGGCTGGAAGAGTTCCCTCTAACTCGGCCTTCTTTGTTCTACTCAGGTCATCCATTGGTTAGCTGAGGCCTCCCCACACAAGGGAGGGCCATCTGCTTTACTCAAATGTGAATCCCATCTAGCAACACCCTCACTGACACACCCAGAGTCAAATTGCACCAAATATCTGGCCACCTCGTGACTCTGTCAAGTTGACACATAACAATTGGCCATCACAGCAATGAAAAGCAAATGCTACACGGGGCCCACAAGACGATGCTAAGTACGATTTCTCTGCAGAGCAAGTTGGCTAAGAGCACCTGGGCTTGAATCCAGCCTCTCTAGGTTCTAGCTACATGTCTTTGGTTAAGTTGTTCAACTTCTCTGGGTCTTCAGTGCAAAATACAGATAATGAGAGGAACTTACATCATGGGGTTGTTTGGCGAATTAAATGAGATAATATGTAAGACGTTCATAACCCAGTGCCAGACACATTGAAGCACTCAAAAAATTCCAGCCACTCGTATCATTATTATTATATCAAGCATTGTGAGGTCATCCTTCAGGCAGTTATCAGCACATTGCATCTCCATTCCAAATTCTCCCTCCAATGCTTGTTCCTCTGTAATAGGCAGGGATTCCGAAGCATTTTTAATTTATACTGAGCACTTTGCTGAGCTTCCTTAAGGGAGGCCACAGAAGGGGAATGGCAGGAGAAAGCGACTTTCCCACTGGTTCTGGCTGCTGCACCATTGGTCCGCACAGCGAGTATGAGGCATAGCCCGGGATGCAGGTGTCAGATGAGTCTCAGACCCCGGGAAGGCTTTGGCACGCAGCAGTTTTTCTGCTCTGGCCTCAGGTAGCATCCAGTACTTCCCAATCTGATTCTAAATGATGGCGCCTGTAAGTGGTGAGTGCTCTAACTGCAGCAGACGCAGTCGGAAGATGAGCCCGTAAGGAAGGTAGGAAGGTAGGGTTTGCTCAGAAACCCCGAGCAAATCCTGCCAGGTCCCACTCGTGCCCACCTTCTGCTTCTACTAAACCAAACACTACCCAGTCCTTTACTTCAGAAGAAAATCTCCAGGCTTTCATGGAAGGACCAGCACAGGTCAGCTTCTCAGGCTTAGTGCTTGTCAGGGAAAGGAGAACCGTGAGTTTTGAAAAATGGTTTCCCAGAGTGATGCGTAGGCACCCTACTTTTCTAAAGTACCCCAGTTAACTTAGGGGTACAGTCAAGGGGGAGAAGCACTGACTCAATCTCTTGGGCCTTGATGTCAGAAATCTGGCTGTGGCTCACTTGCTGTGTGAAATTTGGACAAAACCCTCTCTAGGTTTGGCTTTCTTCTCACAGGATATTAAAAACAACAACAAAAATCACAGTGTGGTGGGGGTGGAGCAGAGCCAATAAGATCAAGCAGACAACACCTAAGCCCTTAATGCAGTGGCTGGCACAGAGTAGCTCCTCAATATATGGTTCTTTTTTTTTTATTTTTTATTTTTATTTATAGGAGAGAGAGAGAGAGACAGCGTGAGCAGGGGAGGGTCAGAGAGAGAGGGAGTCACAGGCTGAAACAGGCTCCAAGCTCTGAGCTGGCAGTCAGCACAGAGCCCGACGCGGGGCTCGAACCCACGAACTGCGAGATCATGACCTAAGCGAAAGTTGGACGCTCAACCGACTAAGCCACCCAGGCGCCCCTCTCAATATATGGTTCTAATATATGGGGGGTTGGGGAGGGATTGGCTACCAAGCAACCATTTCACATTCTCTGGGCTCCCTGGGGAGTCGCCACACTCTCCCTGGTGATAGTGGGGTGGTGGGATTGTGGTTGAGAGCCCCCTTGCCCAGCAAGGAACAGGCGTGTGTCTCATGCCAGGCTGATAGGATGCTCCCTTCTTGGAATGGGAACCTTCAACAGCTGGAGCTCCTTCCACCTGAGCGGTGGCACCCTAACCATGCTGTCCTTGGCAGGGGATTATTCCCAAGGGTCTCTCTTTCTGGAGATACCTTGCTTTCAACCCAGTCCCCCAAACCCCTTGGACTCTGGAAATGCCCATTATCCTTCCAGCTTACTTTCTGTTCCCTAAGCTACTCAAAGTCATCTTCTCTGGCTTATGGCACTGACAAATGGAAAAGAGGGGACTCTGAATTGCCTCGGTGAGAGGGCACACTCTAAACTGTCCCCAGTCCTAGTGACAGGAGGGCTGAAACCTGGGGGGCTCTTGAGGGCAGGACGAAAGTCCTTTAAGTGGACTTCAAGGCCTTAACACGACCTTGGCTGACTGCCAATCCCCCTAGTTCATGCCACTCCAGCCCCTCTGGTCTAGATATTTGTCACACCCAGTGCCACACTCCTACCTCAGGGCCTTTGCACTTGCTGTTTCCCTTGCCCGGAGTGCTCTTCCTCCAGAAATCCCCCAACCTATTCTTCTCTTCTTACTTCAAAAATACAAACCCCACCTGTCTGCACTCTCCCTGTCTCCTTTGCCTACTTAATTTTTCTCAGAGACTTCCAACATACCACATCATCTGCTTATTTATTTTGCTGTCTACCTCCTAAGCCCTGCGAGGACAGGCTTTTGCCTGTCTCACTCACTTCAGTATCCTCAGTACAGTAACCTGGCACGTGGTAGATGGTCAATAAATGTTTGTAAACTGGAGTTGCAGTCTGGGTGGACGCTGTCAGGAACTTGGTGGAAAAAGTGTTGGTCCTAAAGAGTCTTGGAGATCCTGGCTGTCAGGATCCTGGCTGACAAGTCCTGGGAGGATCCCACTCTCTCAGTGACCTGCATGTGGGGGAGGGAGCCACTTCAGGCCGGGCCGATCCTGGATGGAGAGCCACTATATCTTGGAAGACTCAATAATAATGATGATGAGGAGGAGGATGATGATGAGGATGATGATGGCAGCTTTACGGTTGGTGGCCTTTTTTGCTAGGTCTCTGTTAAGTGCTTTACATTCACTATCTCATTTATGTCTCAGCATTCCGATTAAGTGATCCTATTATATTCATTTTAAAGATAACACTGACGCTTGGAGAGTGTCAGTCGTAGGCCCCACAGTCTCCCGCCGCTTCCTGCAGCCTGGCAAGGAGCGGACCTGGAATAAATGATGCAGCTCTGCCCTGCCCAACTGCCCAATAGAGGGGACGTGGGACCCGGGGCGCTGGGCGTGGGAGGCGGGGCTGCCCGCAGAGGCGGGGGCGCTGGTGGTGCGGGGACCCGAGCGTGCGTCCCGCCCAGAGGACCCTCCCGCCCGCCAGGCGCGCGGGAGCGCGGCGACGGCGGCTCTCCGGAGGGGCGGGGCGGCTGCGCGGCGGGCCCTGACGTCATCGGGCGCTCGGCCCTGCCCCGCCGCGGCTGCAGCTGCGGAGCCGGAGAGCAGGCACCGCCGCCGCCAGGACCGGGAACGCAGCGCGCGCGGCCATGGCCTCGGGCGCCGCGGGTAAGCGGGCGCGGGGCGCGGGGGCGGCGGGAGGGCAGCCCCGGGCCCCCGCCGCCAGCGCTCGCCTGACCGGCTGCCCCCCCCGTCTCGTCCCACAGAGGCGGACACTCGGCAGAGGCTGCTGCGCACCGTCAAGAAGGAGGTGGGTGTCGGGGCGGGGGCGGGGAGGGGGCGCGCGGGGCGCGACCCAGGGGGAGGGGGCCGCCGCAGCCTCCCGGGGAAGGGTCTCCGAAGAAGAGATGGCTGGTGGCGGCGGGGACGGCCATCTCCGGTTTGGGGCTCACCTGGCTGGGTATTTACCTCCCGCAGGACTGGGAGGCGGGTGAGTTTGGGGGTGGGGGTACTGGGGGGCTCTGGATGTTTTTATGCGGTGTGCAGGGGCGGGTGCAGCGGGAGGGCCCCCCAGGTGTGGGGCACACCTGGATGTGCCTGGGTAGGGCCCCTCTTGAGGAGGAGCAGGTGGTTGGGTCTCAACTGAGGTGAGGCAAGCACCTAGGGGTGCTGACTGGGCCTATTAGAAGGTGGGGGGGGTGGGGGGTGGATGGAGCTGCAGGAGGAAGACCAGACTTGGGAAGGGGGAAAAGGTTCACTCTGGGGAAATGTCCCTCCTCCCAGAGCTCCCCCTTCCCCTAAATTCTTGGTCCTCGGTCCTGGGAGCCACCCCCAGGAGCCAGGGGACTCCTCCCTCCCTGAAAGTCCCCGGGGAGAGGGTTACTCCATTTGTGGGCATGTCCCTGTTGTGTGGCAGGTGGGTTTCCCTCATCCCCTACCCCACGCCCCACACGCAGTAGAGTGAGAATCAGGCAAGGCTCAGCTGCCCCTCTGCCCCTTCACTCTCCTTGGGGCCCGCTGGGAGCGCAGTCCAGCCTTTAGTTTATAGCCCTGGACTGGCTGCAGAGGGAGGATCCATAGTGGTTGGTCCCTGGGAAGCATTTAGATGCCTGGACTGTGTGCGCGCGCGTGTGTAAAGCATGCACACGGCTGTGTGGGTGAGGACATGTGGCTGTGAGCGTGTGCCTCTGAGAATGTCTGTGCATCTGCCTGGAGCTATCCAAGTATATCTCCATATTGCGTGTACCTGTGTCTGTACGTTTATGTGTTTTTGTGAGTATGAGGTGTATCTGTGTCATGCAGGAGTCTCTGTGTGCATGAGTGAGGCTGTAACCACGTATGTATGATTGTATGTGTGTATATCGCCTTCCTATGTCACCCCACATCCTGGGACCCCATCACTGCTGAGCTGCCTCACCCCAGAATCTTGAGTCCTCAGCCTGAGACCACAAATGCCCACACACCTTGGGGGCTGGCTTCGTGCCCGTGCCTGTGTCTGTGTGTTGAGGGTGTCCGCATCTGGTGTCAGCGCTGAGCACCAGGAAGCCCCTCCCTGCCTGGTTGCAGACAGCCGCCAAAGGACAGCCATGAAGCCAGCACCTGTTGCTGCCCCTCCCTGCTCAGAAAGCTCAGGCATATGTCTATGTCTGTGTATACACACTCTGTGTGTGGCGTGTCCCATGTTGTTTAAAGAATCAGCTCCAGGGCTGATTGTACATTCTAGCATTTCTGAGTAAGATGAGAAAGGCCCAAATCTTTCCAGTGTAGCCCTCTCAGAGGCCCTGTGGGGACCCGAAGAAAGCTCTGTGTGGATAGAGCATCTTCCCACCAGAACACACAGACCTACAGTATTCTGATGACTATGTTAGGGAAGGATGTCTCTAGAACCTGGAGGGCATTAAATCCTGCAGACTGTGTTCATTGTTTAACCGAACCTGGACGTAATATGTGCTCTCCAGATGTGTGCACCTGGAACGGCTGTGTTTTCAAGGAAATGGTTGGCTGATTCAACTGGGAGGGAGGCTGCAGGAAAAAGAATGTGTGAACAAGGCATCTGCCTCTGGGCGGCTCTGCCAGCAGCTGCCCCGATGCCCTGGACAAGTCCTTTCCCCTCTCAAGGACTCAGTTTCCACATCTGGAGAAGGACGCGTTGGCCCAGTGTCCTTGGGGGTCCTACCCATGTCAGTCCAGTTTGGGTTAT